AATAATGCAGTATATATTTTTAAATAAATATGATGCTGGGTGAACCTTAAAGAAAGGTATAATTTTCCTTTCTTTCCAAGCATAATAAAAACATTGACAGTAACAAAAAATTAATTTTTGAATTGCATCTTAATCTTTAAGACCCCTGGAGTGGGGGGGGGGTGTGATTGTTCTCTTAATTTGCTTGTTATGGCTAATTGTTTACTGTAAAATCACACATTTTCATTGGGGTCAAATTTTTGAGGTTTGAGAAAAAAGATTAGTTTATGGGGACTTGATTTCGAGGTTAGGGAATGTTTGATAGTAAATAATTTTAATTTTCGTGGTGGCCATAATTTCATGGGTCTCCTCTTGTCTTACAAAAAACAGCGAAAATAACCCCCATGGAAATTAGTGATTCCACAGAATTTTTTTTTTACTTTAGAATATTCTTGGCACGGGGCCAGAAATTGTCATCGAGAATGCCACCCCTGGAGACGCCGGAATATACACGTGTGTGGTGGGGAATATTATGGGGCTAAAGTCAGTTGACGTCTGGCTAACAGTAAGAGCTGCCACCACTATATCGTCATCAACAAATGAAAACACCACCACCGCCCAAAAACCACCAACCGCCACCACATCAGAACGTCCAACTACCAAAGTTCCCGAGAGATCATTCTCATTTTCAACAGGTATCCTAAAAGATTTTGATTGATTGATTGGTTGTATGTTGTTTAACGTTCCTCTCGAGAATTTTTCACTCATATGGAGACATCACCGGATGCCGGTGAAGGGGTTCTAATTTAGACCTATACTCGGCACTCAGGGCCATTGAGCAGTGAGGGTTCTTTATCGTGCCAGCGCTAAAAAACCTTAAAAACCTACGTTTTTAAGGTCATATCCGAAAGACCCGTGACTTTCACTTCTAGTGCCGAGCGTTTGGCGAAGGAACAGTCACTACCTTTGTTTACGTCTTAGGTATGACGCGGTGCCGCGAACGAGAATCGAACCCGGGCCTCCTGATCACGAAGCGAACGCTCTACTACTAGGCTACCGTGACCGGTAAAAGATGTTGATGGTTATTTACTATTCACTGATGTTTCTATCGTCTTGTGTGTCAGTCTATAATGATATTAATATGCTTTAACATTAGGTTTCTTATATACTCCTCGCTTTTAATTTTTAATGTTATTTTAGGAATGAACAATTTCTTTTATTTTTGTATTAATTGCTGTGTACATTACTTCTAAGAACTGCACATATATTCATGTATACACATATTTTTCAATTTATATTTGTAAATTTTACTCTACAGTTATATCGTAAAACGTTTAGGTATTTGAAAAAAAGGAACTATTTCTCTCCTTGCAGAAAAGGATCCGATCAGCAACAGACAAAGTCTCCTCAACACTAAGGCTGAAAATGTACAACTGCAGAAAAAGACGGTGGACATTTTAGAAGAATTACTTAGAATACAAAAACGGAAATTGAAACTTTTGCAAAACTCACTTACATCCTAATCCAAACTGTATCTTCATATCCTTCTATGATCATATTTAAATCCTTAATTTTTGTGTTTTCATTATATACAAACCACGAAACTATAGTTTTATTATATCATTGACGTACAAAACTTACTAATTATGTACATTATTATTGCACAAATTAACTAGATTGATTATGTTATATATGTATGTTAGTTTATGAATCATAGAAATACTGTTGCCGCTGTTGCAGAAAAAAAATACATGAACAAAAGTGTATTATGTATTTTTTCTGTAGTAGAGGCAACGTTAAGTCCCGTACAAAAAACACCTCTTTTTAACTCATCTGAGCCGAAGGCTCACGTGAGCTTTTCTGATCAAAACTTGTCCGTCGTTGTCGTTGTCCTTGTCGTTGACGTAAACTTTTCACATTTTCATCTTCTTCTCAAGATCCATTGGGCCAATTTCAACCAAACATATTCTTGGGTGAAGGTCATTCAGGTTTGTCCAAATGAAGGGCCACACCCTCTTCTAAAGGGGGGTAATTATGAGTGATAAATTAATGGCATCTTTTTGAAATCTTCTCAAAAACTAGTGGGCCAGGAAAGATGACACTTATGTGGATGCATCCTCATGTAGAGTAGATTCAAGTTTGTTCAAATCATGACCCCCAGGGCAAGGGTGAGGCCACAATGGCCAATCGAAGTTTTACATTGGAATACATTGGAAAAATCTTCTTAAGAACCAGTAGGCCAGGAAAGATGAAACTCATGTGGAAGCATCATAATGTAGTGAAGATTTAAGTTTGTTTACTGTTTAAATTTATATCCGTATAAACAATCATACATATTAAGATAAGTACGTTAGATACTATATTATTGAAATACAAACATCAATATCTGGTATTTGATTCGTTTCGCATGTCAGTTAACACAGAACATTCTTTCTGTTGGTATTACTCATTTCATTTTCTGAACAGTTCTTACAAGAGGGGAATAATCACGCCCTGTCTTCACTTTTATCTAAATAAAAAACACTTTGTCTTTGTACATCTGTTGATTGATTGATTGTTTGTTTGATTGTATGTTGTTTAACGTCCTTCTCGAGAATATTGAACTCAAATGGAGACGCCACCACATATAAAACCGCTCTGTGACGTCCTCGTAACTTGGTCGGAAAATATAATTTAAAAATAGCAAGGAAATCCCGGGACTTTGGAAATAAAGTGTTCCTTGACATGAGGTCAAGTTTTTTAAAAGGTTTTCTTTGACAAAACTTCCTTTTTGTCTAAATTAACATTTTATCTATGATTTTTTCAAGTTTTCCTGATTTCAAATTACAACAAGAAATCAGGGAGACAGAAGGAAGCACTCTTAATTTGTCTTAATTTTTAATAGCCAACTCAGGATCAGAACAAAACATCTGTATTCAGAAAAAAATGTTATTCATGAATATTGTGAGCTTTATATTCTACATCATGTCACTTTTTCAACGTTTGCTGATATATTCACTGATGAGTAACGTTTGTCTTGCTGCATTAGAGGATGATCAAAATATAATGAAAGGTAAGTAATGTGAAATGTTTGAAAATGGAATTTTTTCGTCCAGGTAGAGGATGATCAAAATATAATGAAAGGTAAGTAATGTGAAATGTTTGAAAATGGAATTTTTTCGTCCAGGTGGACTTCGCTTAAAATTTAATTTAGTTTTGTATTAGACAGTTTGTTTAAGATTTAATTAAATATAAATACAGCCAAAATGTTATGTTTTATCAATGATAACCGTATATCCAAGGTTATAGTCGTGTATATCGTATTTAAACCTAAACTTCGGGTTTGGTCCACCTTTATTTACTGGTGAAATTTTCACTCCATTTTATTTTTACCACTTTCGCCCCTCTCATAGGGGGAAGAATTTCAAACGAAGGGAATTTAAAAGGACTATATCATTTGTTACACAAAACTGTTATTTGGCGAATTTTAAACGGGAAAAATTCTTTACAAGTGTGAAAGGGCGAAAATAACCATGAATACAGTACTTTTTATTCCTCTTTGCGAAGGGCTAACTAATGTACCGACTATCGAACATCTGCATTAACCACGTAGAAACTAATTTTTTGCAATGCGTACATCATGGATTATTCCAGAGTAATAGTGATCAAAGAAAGATTACATGTATTATCTACAAAAAGACATGGAAATATAAAAATACAGAGGTATGGTATTAGATATGCACGGCAGATCCGACAAAGTTTTGTGATTAATGGACTGATTCATTAATTGTATTTTTACGTGCCTTTTTGTGAATTTTTCACCAATATAGAACGGTACCATATACCAGTAATGGGTTTCAAATCAGAATTTGAAACTTTACACATACTTGACATTCAGAGCTTGAACAATGAGTATCCTTCATCGTGCCAACGCCTATAACTTGACAGGGGCATCACTTTTTAAAAGTCTTATTCAAAAGACCTGTAACTTTGGCCTATAGCGACGCTCGCTTAAATTACCCGGTAATCACTACCTACGAGTACGTTTACGTCTTAGGTTGTCGCTACTGTGGCGCAGTGGTTACAGCGTCTGCCTCTAAAGTCGCGGAGTAAGCAGCTGCCCTGAGCTGATCCTTAACGTCGCGGGTTCAAACCTGACCTGAGTGACGAGTAGAAGCATAAAATTTTGCAGCTTTCCCCCGGCAAGTGATGGGGTCTCCATATGAGTGAACAATTAAATAAAACGTCCATGGTTTGTTGGGGCGCTGCGAATGATAATTTGGCTAAGGTCATCGGATCTCATATTTAATGCCCCTTTACGTCCCTTTAATGTCCCTTTACGTGATGAGTAATTCTTGGAGATTTGTAACATTGGGAGAAGAAAGGATTGTCACCCTTTGTCTCGTTTGAATGACTTTAATGCCAATACATAGTAGGGAAAAGATGGACAATAGCATTGGGGCTGCTATAACATGCATACCGGGTATCGTAGTGATGTAAGTGTTTTACCCAATTCTCTTTATTATTTAATTCTGATTTTTTATCCTTGTATTTTAAAATGGATGTTTTTATTCACTTTTTTATACAATAGATCGTTACATAAGTGTGAGGAAAAATTCTCTGGTGTAATATGTGTAATGAGCTACCAACTATACCGAATATTAAATCTTACATATATTATTATAATTGGTACATTCTGTTCATTTTCCATTTTATACGATGCATTTTTGTTTGACATTTTCTATTGATCTTTTAATTGACCAAGAAGGAAGTAAACAGTAACAATAGAGTCTTAAATTGAAGTTTGTTGTCTGGATGACAATGCCAAAAATCAGTTCTGTATCGAAACCTACAGGACCGAAACAAGCATATCGAAAATAATATTACATTGCAAAGCCAACAGAGTCCAGCATACAAAAAAACTCGAGAGTCATTCCTGTGAATCACGCAAAAAAGATGAAGAAACAGTGGGTAATGTACTCTGCATTATTTGAATAGAATTTGCTTTTAATTCTGCGAAAATTATTTAAAATAAATATATTCATAAAAATGGTAAATTAAATTTATGTCTTCAATTACAGTACTAGATTTTTTTTTCAGGTATGGCCAAACTCTGTGATCATTTTAGAGGAGTATAAGAGGAAGTGGAGAAGGTAAAAAGATCAAACTATAAATATAATAAAGGCGCGATTCCTTCAGGGTCTCACTGAAAGCATGACTATTACTAATCTGTTAAAATAGAATGTTAAATTGTAAAAAATAAAATAATAAGAAGAAATTACTGTGGTCCTAATACTCATTTGTTGACTTTTGCTCGCTAGCTAGTAAGTCCAGGTTTATTCTCGCTTTTGATGTAGCAAAGTTTTTATATAATATATTGTTTTAAATACTGGTTTATTTTCAAATTACTGGCTTTTATAGATATCTTTCATATTTTACATAGCTCTGGTTCGTTTAATTGGAGCATTCAATTGGAAACAACAACAACAACAAAAAAAAAGATAAATAAACTAGAGCCGAGCTCGTTGCAAAGCAACGAATAGGTCTTCCGTTGGAGCTACGAACTAGAAGACGTAACCTTGAGTCGAGGTCAAAAGCCACATACTAGAGATATACAAGTAAAAAACCTTGTAAGAGAAGGAACTTACAATGTTTCGCTAGGAAAAAGACTGTAAAGGAATACTTGTATGTGTGACCTTGATCTTTCCAAATGACCTTGTGGTAAGCAATACCTAACTCTCGTTAGAGCTAAAATTGAGATAAAAAGAGTTAGGTCAAGGTCGAAAGAAAGGCCAAGTTCAAAAATCGTGATGCCATTAAATAGCTCTCATCAATATGCATCAACATGTGAAGTTTGATAACACCATTTTAAATGGTATGTTTAAAACTGAGCTAAACACTAATTTAAGAAAAGTGAGGTATATACATGTACATGTATATAAAGTCAAGTTTAAAAAAAATGTTAATGCAATTGCATAACTCTAATTAATTTCTTTCAGTATATAAAGATTGATAAAAATATCTTGGATAGTTTGTTTGAAACTGAGCTTTGAACTGAGATAAAGGCAAAGTGTGACAGAAGGAGAGATGGAAGGACAGAAAGTAGGAAGGATGGAAGACGTCCGACAAACACCAAATGCCTTGGCCATATTCATGGCAGGGCATAACATGTCATGTATGATTATTGGTTTACGTAAAAATAGGTCGTAACTTTCAGTCTCGGAATTCAACCCCTCAACTACATGTATACATGCATGTACAAAAACAAATCAACCGACTGACATTCTCTGCTTAGAAGGAAGACATTGTATTCATTTTAAGGGATGGGGTACTTATAGTGATGAGAGGAATTTAACAACCTGTCGGTCCATGAAACATTATTTTGGAATGTCTGCATACAGCTGCGTGGCTTTTCTTAGAATGAAATTAGTATTTTTTGAAATATCTAAATAATTCTTTTATTGACGCCGTGATATATTTGATAGGCTGTATAATAGCTGTTCGGATATAGTGCCGTTTGAAGGTCCAACACCTTTCTTTTAATATAACCAAAGGTTCTAGTGATCTTTTTTTCTGTATAGTCGAAATGCATGGGAGAAAGAAAGAAACGTATGGGGTCGTTCAAAAACAAATTAATGAGTTGTGTTTTTCATCTATAGAGACACTTTTTTTCTTCTGGTTTTCCTTTTTTTGTGAATTGCCGTTTATTTTGTTTACAAGCTTGTGTTCATAACGCTGTTCAAACGCGCTACCAATGTGAGAGGAGAAAACAAGACGTCGTCAAGCAACAATGACCGACCAGATGGACGTTTATATACATTGTAATCATTATACAGTCAACCAAATATCAGAGCGAATCGATAATTTAAGTACCTAGTTAAATACATAGGAATTCAATAATTAAGGAAAGAATTCAATTTATATTTTATGATAAATAGACAATAACGAATTTTCTAATTTTGTAAAACCGTATTCTGAAAGCTCTGGATGTATATGTTTGGTCGCTCTTCTATGTGAAAGTTCATACATATAAAACATGTAATTATTATCGGCTGCGGTAGCGGCCAATCTTTTTGTGATTGTGTTAGAGAGTGCACATGGGGAAATGAGACTTTTTTTTTCTTACTTCAATAAAATAATTCGTAAATTATAACAGGTAAAAATCATGCGTAAAATATTTTAAAAACTTGCTTAAACTTAATATTGAATGTTGAAATATATTTCAATTTCATTGCCATTAATATCTCATGATCATCGATAATTTATGGTCATTAAAAAGAGTTTACATCAGATACTCCCTAGCCTGAGAGTGTGTAAGATTTGAAAAGAAATCTCTTGATTTTCCGGATAATGATGATATGGTTAAAGTGCAAGGTGAATAAAAAAAATGAGGAGTTTTCCAACTTCTAGTAAAAATTGTTTTGAACTTACTCTTCATCTACAAATGACACAAAGATCATGAAGATATTTTTTTTTAATTTTGCACTGCGGTTTGCAGCATAGCCTGCTCTGCAGAAACTATGAGCATTATCACGTAATCAAGATCCAGGGTATCGAGGCTCGGACAGACCTACACTTTCATTTTGATGACAATAAATTCTTCTTATACATCAATGAACATGTTTTTTTTAACATCGATAAATCTATTTATGAGCAAATGCGGTAAAATTATTTTTTATTTTGCTTTGAAAACAGCCTGAAATAAAATTGAAAAACTATTTCAGCTTAGAATATCTTGACGTGCTTCCCTTGCATGTGAAAGAATTTTTTTGCTTTGCAGCCAATTTGATGCTTTGCATCAATTAAATTCGTACTGACATTGTACATGTAAAGGCATGTAAAATATTCTGTTTATTGGACGAAATAGTATACCATTCTGTACAATATCATTTTAAGTTTAGTAGCAAATAACTGCAAACTCAAAAGTGCTTAATTTCATTTGGATTTCCCCCTGTGAATTAGAAACGTTAACTCCACTTACAATTATCATGCATGCGTACATGTAGTTTAAGATTCATAAAACAATTACCACTTCGATAAATACAGGAAAAAATGGTGAAAACCTAGCTCGTGTTTTTTTTCCCGGCTATCAAAAGGCATAAAACTTGAAATGAATAAATGCACAAGCGATTACGATTGATTAAAACAAGCTGAAATAGAGTTAAATTGAATGATATGAAAGGAGTCGACATGATTTCAAACCAAATTTTCCATTTGTAACTATCGGAGTACACAACGGATTTTCAAATCGACATACCCGCTGCTATCTGCGGACACATGCTTGTAAATGAGGACTGGGCTACAAAATTTTAGACACAAAGTGACAAAGCTGGATGTAAACTGTTTATTACAAATACGTGAATAATAGTATATTTTAAAGTATTTTTTTTACGTTCAATGTTTATTAATATTAATAAAAATAATGGAGAAACAAAAGAGTGATGGTAAAAATAAAACGTACATAATAGTACATTACGTATCACAAGACTTCCATCACTAATTATAATTATTTGCAATTACAATTTAAATAAAATACATTAACACGGAATAGAGAAATAACTAGAGCCAAGCTCGTTGCAAAGCAACGAGTAGGTCTTCCGTCCTGTTTGACCGGAAGTAACTTTTATTTAAAAAAAAGAAGAGTAATGAAGTCCAAAAATGGGTTAATCCTCAAAATCTATGTTAAGTATAGCAAAATTAAGCCATTCTTTGGTACTTCCGGTTTGACCGGAAGTGACAACGACGGACGGAAAATTAATATTTAAGCTTCTAGTGAGACATGTTACCCAAAAACCTGTCAAAAACGGCAAAAATATGCATTTTCTGACTACTTCCGGTTCGACCGGAAATGACGTCGCCGGACGTATTTTGACGACACCATTACATAAAGCTTGATATTTTGAACAACACTGCATCTTTGATGCATAACAAATTCTCAATACTTTTTGAGATATCTGGAAAAAACTTTTGGCCCCTCTAGGTCCCTTAATTTAGGGGTCAGCCCTTTTTTCGACATATCATTTGATCTATGATCTTCTAATTCTGCACAAATTATGTTCTATATATTTTAACAAAATATTTTTAGTTTAGAAGATAAAAAGAAAAATATGAGTAGTTTTTTGTTCTTTTAAGCGTTCTAATTTTTGACCCCTATATAGCGCCATTTTGAATACAGAAATCGAAAAACAAAAACCGTGATGTGCACAACTTCAATCCTTCTATTATCTAAAATCAGTAGAATTTCTGCTCCAGCTTTAGCCGTCTCTGAGCCTTTGTCTGGAAACGAAAGCCTATAAATTTCCCTTTAAAGGGAAATAACTCAAAACCGGAAGTGGCTTTTTGAAATTTTAGACATCATTCTGATAGAGTTTATTAACGTCTATAACGTCTGAAAATTTGAGCGAAATCCGTTGAGAAATGAGCGAGATATGAGGCCTCAAAGTTGCGGTCTAGGAAGCAGAAGAAAAAAAAGAATAATAATCTTTACCAACAGAATCAGTAGAAGGTCTTCCGTTGGAAACGGAAGACCTTAATTTTGCGTGAACAGGCCAAAGAAAGCGATCACAATTCAAAATGATTTATGCACCAGTGTTTCGAATTACGATTAAATGAGAGATCGGTGAAGTATTATTATTGATTCGATAAATTAAAAACATGATTTTCTATAAATTGATAGGTCTTTGTACACAATGGATTTTAAACACGATCACAGACACTTGCATTGTTCACGGCAGGTGGCTGGTATACTAGTGACCTCGATAGACAGCGTGGGATTTGCGCGTTGGATTACATAACTGTTACAAACATCTAGGCGATCTTGGAGATCGCCAAATGTATACAACTGTCTAATGATGGTGAATTATTCGATGCATAAAGTTAAAATAACTTATAATTGTTATAATAATCAATGTAGAAAGATAGATTTGATATATTCCGTTTATGAAGACGTGTTCACTGTAAAACTAATTAATAATAAATAAAAAAGAAAGACTAATCGTTATAAATAATTTAATAGTGAACCGTAAAGCACGTATAAAGCCCTGTTTAGAAGAAAATTAACATTAATAATACCACAGGATTTATTACTGATAGGAAGTTTGTGTAAATTATACACATGAAGAGGTCTGATTTCCATTCCGAATGAAAAACGCTACCCGTTTACCTGGCCTGCTTTCAACTACGTATTACGCAATACCCCCGGTATAATCGAACACAAAACATTTTCATCAGATTAAAAAGGTGTCAAAGAACAATTTTGTTCCTATAATCCAGATCGAAATATTTACCGTTTTTGAGTTATAAAGCAAAAACTTTCAAGCTCCATAAATCCCTAATCATAGGGGCCAGTCCCTTTTGAATAGAATTATATGAAAACTCTTGCAATTATACACAACTTTTGTTCAACATGTCTTAACAAAATATTTTTAGTTTTCAAGATAAAAAGGAAAACATGTGTAAATTTTCGCTCTTTTAGGCGCTATATTTTTTGACCCCTGTATAGCGCCATTTTGAATAGAGAAATCGAAAAACAAAAACCGATGTGCACAACTTCAATCCTTCTGTTGTCTAAAACCAGTAAAATTTCTGCTCCAGCTCTAGTGGTCTCTGAGCCTTTGTCTGGAAATGAAAGCCTATAATTTTTCGTTTAAAGGGAAATAACTCAAAACCGGAAGTGACTTTTTGAAATTAACGACAGCATTCTCATAGAGTTTATTACCGTCTATAATGTCTGAAACTTTGAACAAAATCCATTGAGAAATGAGTGAGTTATGAGGCCTCAAAGTTGGCGTCTAGGAAGAAAAAAAAAAAAGAATAATAAGAATAATCTTAATCTTCAGAATCAGTAGAAGGTTAGGGTTAGGGTTAGGGTTAGGGTTGGAAACGGAAGACCTTAATAAAGGAATATATGAGAATTTTATTTCCACAGAAACCTCGTGACAACAACATCAATTTAATTTCCAACCAGTAAATGTTGTTCTGGGGTTGTTTTCTCTGTTGCTAAATACTCTTGTAGTACACGTTGATGCAGCTCGAATATACACACTATCAAACATGTTGAGAGAAACCACAATTGTTCCAGTGTCCGAATCATAGTCTGCGGCTTCGTCCGTCTCACCCATGGTAAAATTTACTTCTTCACTGTTGACGTTAACTCTGTAAAAAGTTCTCCCTTTGTCTCCAGTGTAGATGGTCCAAATGAATACATATACTCCTGAGGTCGGAGCTGTAAACACGCCGCTATATTTGTTATATCCTCCACCCAAATTTGTTTTCACTATATCAAACACTAAGGTGTGGTGGATGCTTGGATTTGGTATCGGATGAGAAAGGTAGGCATAGAAGGCAATGATATTACTGGAAGATCTGGTATTTCTAATTACTGTCTCATCAGAGATCGACAAGTTTTCCAGTTCTTCTAAAAAAAGATAAAATAATATATGCAAATTAAAGCTTAAGTTAATTACCCACCAATATTTGTTAAACTTTTTTTGGTTAAAATGTTATCATTGTTTTATGTGTCATTATATAATATATATTATATCTTTTTTAAAATATGTACCCGGTATATTATAGGTGAATATATATGGAACAAATCAAACCCAAAATGACAACTATCCTTCAACTGTGTGATATTTCAGAAATGTATGCTACATTTCAAAATGAACACTTACTTTTTTGGAGACTTTTCTCTCCATTCCTTGTATCTATTTTTTTCTGATTAATAAAATCAGCATTAACCCTTTGAACTTTACAAGACTTCACCATGCATTTAGTCATGTCTGCGCGTAAGAGCCTGGTGTCCCTTTTCAGGTTAGAAATTTCCCTTTCTTGCATTTTAATGGTGTTACGCATTTCACTTAACTCTCGTTCGACATCAATGCTCGCGGAACAAATTTTTAATATTCCAAGAGCATAAAGAATTATAACCATAGTAAACATTGTTAACTAATGTACAACACACGATCCGTACTATCACAACAACGCTACAACAACTGTTACAATGGTTTATCTAATGTCAATAACACGACAATTTTCAGTTTTAAATGAAGGGATCTATTGCATTTTGTGTAATTCAAAAAAGTAATATCTATGATGTTATGGAAAGATCAGTTACATTATATTGATTCCTTAAAAATCACCACACGCGATGTAGTATATTAATTGACTTGATTCGAGGGCAAGATGCGTTTTGTAGGACTCGAGCACTAAATTGCTTGCCCGAGGTCGAAACACAAAGGTTAAAGGTTTTGGTTTAAGGATTCTACGACCTTTTTATTCCCGAGAACAGAGTCAGATCATGTTTTATTCTTCAGTTATGCTTGCTTTCATATTTGCAATATTTAATAGATATGGCTGTTCCACCAACATTGTAATTTGAAAACAAATGCCATTACGGTCCAATTTATTAAATTTTAAACAATAAGACATTGAGATTGAATAAAAAGTTTATTCTGTCACAATGTGAGAGGATATAGAAGATACCAAAGCACTGGTAGTTGAAATAAAATATTAATATCTGGCCTGTCATAAGATTCTTGCGAGATAGGAATTATAATTTATATATTTTACTCATGGTTCTAACTCGTAAAAATATGCAAAAAATATCCTGCCCCAACCGTTCAAAAAATTTCATATATCCATATATTATATTGAATATCCATTGTATCTCATCAATAGGTCTAATATCCTTCTAAGCCATACAGCATCTATGGTTTGGGCAACTCTCAGAGACATTGGAAATGTTTTTTTAAAATTCATTATTATGTTTTTAACCGCATAAGTGTAAAGATATTTGCTTTGTGGTAAGTGTTCATCACTCACTGCCTCTTTACACGGCTTCCCATTCATGATGAGCTTTTATCAAATAACGGGTTTTCCATCTCCATAAGTAGTTCAGGAAGACGGAGGTTGTATCTATAAAAATTGCACACTTTTAGAAGATGATTGCAGTGAGTAATAAAAGTAGAACAGTTAAAATCTCAAGCATTCTATTTTTCAGCATCACGTGGTTTAAGACTTCTTTAACCTTTCGTTTCTTTTTATCAACGATCTTTACCACGCTGTCTACAGTTCATATTCTGATTTTGGTCTTCAATTGCAACATTTGTCTTGCACCTTTCACAGATGACCGAGTCTTTGAGAATTACCATTGTAAGTATCGAGATACTGAAAAATTATATTTAAATGTTTTGACTAATTTGTAGAAGTTATGTGCATAATAATTCGGAATTTTTTTTAGATTACACCACAACTTCATTTTATATCGCAGTAGTAACCTCCAAAAAGGTTTGTCTTCGCTGGTTTTGCAATTTGTTATTTTCGATGTAAATTAAGCGAGTCAAAATTGAGGAAACTGAAGGCTATCACTTTCTAACGGATGTATTTTAACATGTAAAATCCCCAAGGTACACTTTTGAGATGATTGCTGAAAATGTGTTAAAAGTCAATACTTGAAAAAACAACCACAAAAACTGGAGTTTCTGTGTGATTCCTTATTGTATTTTCTCACCAAAATAAACATTCCTGAAACAAGTGTATACTAATACGCTTTTATATGACATTGGGCCAATTATGGCTGAAATATCACCGACTTGATAAAGCAATAATCAATTAGTCAATATTGCAGATTGCATGCAGATATTGCCACTTTTCCTAAGTATTAAGAATAAAAGTTAAATATGTAAGAGTGCAAGGTTGTATCTCGCCGTATCCTCCTTGTCATGATCGGGGAATATCGCAAATATCCGTCGGCTGTTCGGTGTTTTAATAATGATCAAATACATAGTATGTAAAATTTGACTTAATGATAGACCGTTTTTGCGGACAAGGTCATTGTATCGACCATAGAACTAGAGAAATGATGACTTTAAACGAGGTTCCTTATAGTCTTGTTTCATTAACTTATTTGTCAATAAATTGCAAACTTTAGTGTTATAATCCCCATATGCAGGTGATAATGGGAAATAACTGCAAAACTATATTCAAGCTCTAATATCCAATCAATCATTACTAACTGACAGCAAAGCATACAATGGACCAATGGTTATATCAAGTGCCATGGTGGAGAAAGTATCCATTATCGACAGGTCAAATCATCATATGCCTTCTGCTTTCATCGGGTGAAGAATCAGTTGCGCAAAATTGATTGAGTGATTGATTGTTTGTTGTTTAACGTCTCTCTCGAGAATTTTTCACTCATATGGAGATGCCACCATTTGCCGGTGGAGAGCTGCAAATTCTGTCCTATGTTCGGCACCCAGGGCCATTGAGCAGGGAGGGATCTTTTTCATGCCAGCACCTACTGCGACACGGGACCTCTGTTTATACCGTCTCATCCGAAGGTTTGGTCTCCACGTCCCACAGTGAGATTCGAACCCGACACGTAAGGATTGACTCCTTACTTTGAGACTCTAGAGCAGACGCTCTAACCACTGCTCCACACCCATGGAATAATTTGCTTCGCCTGTTATGCAAATTATCTCATGTTTCCCACTATCGTTGATGCACTGGCTTAGTCTCCTAACTAGACGGTGATTCCTGAAGTATCAAATATAATTACGTAAAGTTGTAGATGGGATTTTGACAATTCTTGCAATTAAAAGACAAATGTTTGTATTTAATGTTTATTTTGTCGCAATTTCCATATGCCTTTAAGTGCAGTCAATCTAATTCTATCACTTGAATTTTTTTGTACTTTTATACTCCATTATAAATGGGAAAGGAATATCAGATGATTTTATTTCCACAGAAACCGCATGACAACAACGTGAATTTAAATCATTATGTCTTGAGCTTCAAAAAACTGCCAATGATAGTAATGTTCTCCCGCCTTACTCCAAGTCAATTTACGTTTTTCACTATAGAAATCAACGGAATACGGAAAACATTTTTAAAACATCTTTTCCTCCGTCAAACAAAACTGCCTTTTTACACTTAATATGGACAAAAGAAAAGATATAAGAAACATTTATTCATATCCAAGACTATTTAAAAATATAGTGACGCTTGAAATCCTGATTTCAATGGAAAATTAGTCTACCCCCTTTTTCAAGAACTGGAATTATGGATAATTTACTATTAAGCGCTGGTATTAAGCCGATTCATCAATTACCACTGAACTGTTCTTTGTATTAAACAAAGATTTTATTTATTGTCATTGTCATTTATTTTGAATGAAATGGGTGCAAAATGTAGGAGGAAATCGAGAGTTAGCGTGCGTATTTCTTTGATGTCGGATTTTTGTTGTTGCAGATATGTACATAACTATGTCAATGAAAGACAAAAATAAAGTTAATAACTTCTGTTGTTCGTATTTGCGACGAAAGAACTATTTATAAGCTTCTCTTGAATCAAAAGTACATTATTGTCGTCCTGTACAATAACGATTTCTTATATATAAAACTACATATATTGGATTGTATAGAAGTCTTTCTTCTTTTTTATTTTAGTCTAATTGATCATGAAGATTTAAGTTACATACAGATTTTTCATAATAATTAACACATTTTATCAACAACAATGAAGCTCATATTACTTTAACTCTTTACAACTTGCTGAACTGGTATGCAACATACACTTAATGTTCACGTCATAGAATATTATAGGGTTATTGAACTTATATTGGTGAAGATTGGCACAAGTTAAGCTATATAAATGCACGACCTTGCGAGTGCAGTTGTACAGCCAACAAGTGCTAATATTCACTAATATAAGTTCATTAACTCCTTTATTATATAGCTAAAACATTTCCTCATAATTTATGATAATTACGTCACTAGAAAAATCAAATCAATGATTTTTTTAGTACTGGTATTCAAATTAACACCTGTCCTGTAAGTGTTCAATATCGATTCATTCCGAACGTTATAATTTGCTTATTTAGGTTTTAGTGGGTCTAAAACGTACTAAATTTTAAATAGATAATTTCATTTCTGTGTAAAAAAATAAACACGTCTTACCTAGATGCCAGTTCCTTTCTTTAATTTGACTCGAAGAATTTGACTAGACGACATTTTTTGTTCACAACGGGGCGTTCGATATCGAACGCTCGTATTCGGAATGTTTTGGGCATACTCATATACGTAATACAAACTCAAGGTTCAATACAACGCCAATATACTCAGTATTGAACGCTGAAATTCTCTAGATTTTTTGTATTTTTTTTATTAGAGACTATTTATTAGCTATACAATAAATGAAGTTATCATTTCCCCGCAAGCACTTTATAGCGCGGTAAAAGTTTCTCTAAAGTTTAGCGTTAATAATATTATGACGTAATATTAAAATAACTTTTATTATTTTATGAGATTTTAGCAAGTATGTAATAAAAGAAAATTCCATCCAATTGAATATTAGATGTACTTTTTTAAAGTGCGTGAAAAATGCGTGATTGCAGGGAAACGCTTCATGTATATGCGTGATTTTTCGTTAGAAACAGGTAAGAGTTTATGCGTTATTTGCGGGGAAGGGGGTTAACTTCTATCCAGTAAATGTTCTCATACTGTAGATTCCATATTTTTGCGAGTTCTTATAAAGGCCAAATAGTTCTTTAACATCAAAACGCGAGTTCAACAATTCGCGAGTGGTCAGGGTTGATCAAGGGATTTATCATGGAATTTAGCACAATTAAACATTTTATTTCGCAAGTGGTGTTTCTCGCAAAATTACGCGATAATTAATTACTCGCTTTCATTTAGGAATTTACAGTATTGTTTTCTCGGAAGCTAAATACGTATATTGTATACGTTGTTGCAGCTTGAATATACAAACAATAAAATATGTTTAAAGACACCCAAATTGTTCAAGTGCTCGAATCATAATCGGCGCTTCGTCCTTCTCACCCATGATGTAATGTAATGTTAAGACATGAAACCTAAAGAACATTGCAAATGACCGAATTTATATAGGTCTTGTCTTTATACATATCATACTCTCATTTACAGCCTTTCAGAGACCATACAGTCGTCCAACTTGCCCTTCTTTGATAAACATACATTTTTCCTACAATGATGGTTTTCACTAAAAGTACATCATTAAACAGATGCATTTGTTTAAAAATATACAAAATTTTTGATTTATTTTTTCTCAAAAAATATATTCTTTGAATGTCTGTTTTCAAATGATACTTTCTATCTGTTAATCAATGATATATTTATAAACTGTAATAGTTTTACTTACTAAATTTCTGAACATTTTGACCATTGGCATAACCTTAAGCTCTAAACACTGCACACTAAGTCGTTCTATTTATATGATAGTTTAATGCATTAAGAGTGATATGCCGTAGAATTAAATAAAAAATGTTATTTACAGCTATTTACACAAAATGTAATAAATTTAAATATTCTTAGCATTATTTTAGAGCAAGAGTAAGTAAATGAATTCATTTTTTCATTTATTTTCCCTATGTAAGCGAAGAACAATGCTTTCTGCTCACAAATAGTCTATTGTCGTTGAACATTTATCCTGCTGAAATATGTTGAAAATTAACTAAATAGTGCCAATATACACACCTTTATGATATTGAAATTCAATTTAATACAATTAAATACATGGGCATCGGTCTTACAATAAACCTTTAATACACGATGTCCCTTTGAATCATTACTACCTTATGTACATTTGTAAATCAACAGTTAGGTCTACATCATATTTGCACCAAACTTTACTCTGTCCCTTTGGGACTTTTAATTTTTATTCCTTGACATCAGAAAATGGACTTTTTAAACCCCCTCATTTCACTGTAGAAAATGCAGATAACACGATCCGTCTTTCCCTTAAACTTCAATATGCCAATAAAGGAACTGACGCGGTTAATATAAGTAATATTCTTAATCACAAGAGGGTCCAGTCTTGTATTCACCATATTTCAAGTTAAAGACTACACCTTGTATTTCCTACAAGTATACATCGACAATTGCTTCGAAACTTTTGAATTACAAGAAAACTTTACATGACCTGGATATTGAGTATCTGAAACATAATCCTCCATCTTGTTCATGTTCTTCTTTACTCTATAATTATAGTCCTGCTGGACATTTATTACAAGTGAAGTAAATATAGTTAATAATCAGGACCTTAGATCACTTATTTAAAAAGGCCCTAAATATACCCCAATCCTTTAACTGGCTTCAGAATTTCATAGATATTATGGATTCTGTGGAAGATTATGCCAGACGATGGGCCAGATATGAAAAAGAAGACGCTGACACTTTTCCTTTTCAGAATGGTTTAATGTTAGTTAATTATAGATTTATGAATACTGTAAATATTTTTAAAATCATCGACAGTTTCTTGTATAGCATAATTAATGTCTAACTAAAACTCATATCAAAAACTAGTCAAATTGCACTGCCATCTTTGTAGTGTGAGTCTGGGTATTGGTACATACTCTGATGAACAGATAATGACTTGTCAAACTTATTATTACAACAAAGCACATGCTGTCATGGTAGAACTTGAAATAAGGGAAAACAGCCTTGTAACATGTGATTTATGTTAGTTTTATCAGTTAATATTCATTAGATATTCCTTTGCCCAAAAACATTCTGATTAAATTTTTTTGGCATCCCATTATCAATAATTGCCAGAGCATTGTTAAAAATGAAAATAATGAATCATAAAAACGCTGAGTTCTGACACATTATTTGAAAAAGACATATACAATATGTACATTGATTTAAAAAAAACCATGTCTTGGAGAAAAGAGATGCCAGTGTAGTAGTTGCATTAAAAGTTTTTATCATTGAGCATTGATAAGGGTTTACTTCCATTGATTATCTATATCTAATGGAGATTTTATGAAAAAATCTCTGAAGGCATTAGACATTATCTTTTTGAAAGATTGTGCTGAACAAAAAATAGATTTCTTTAAAAAGAATATAGTACCTGTTTTGATAAGAATCAGAATAATTTATTTTCCCCAATTTCTTAATTATCATCCTAATGTGTTTTCCTCTGAATTGAAAGTTTTTCTTTGTCCAATTTCCTTTCAATCTAAAAGAATAAAACATCTAAAGAAGTCATATGTACTAATTTCTAGTAATATAGTGATTGTTATTTGATGCAGAGGACTTGCTTTCAATTTCAGTATTTTTTTCATTACACAAGGACTGTAGGGAAAAGGATGTGACTGCACACGACTTCTATGTTTTTTTTAAAATTCCCAATAAGGAGTGAAAAAACAACAACAAACGGGGATGTAAAACATATTCCAGCATTCTGAATGTGAACAACGAATTTATTTTATGCTTGTGTGACCTTGATCTCTTACATTTATCATCATGTCACCTTGGGAACTTTTGACCTTTTTACTGGTGGGCAGTGTTTGTCTTGGATCGTTAGTTGATGGTCAAAAGAAAAACAAACGTAAGTGTACGAAATGATCTGATGATTTTTTGTTTATAATTTAAGAAAGCAACCTTGTTTCGTCTTCACTTACTGTGAAAACCATATGACCTAAAGTCTATGCATGAAAATTCAAATATCATATTCTGTGTATGTTACGAATGCATGAAAACAATTTATGAAATAATAAGGAGTATGTTGCTGTGATTTTATTTTCGTTTTAGCCAAGGGTTTTTGATCCACTCGATCCGATCCCAAAGTGGAGTGGACCGAAAACCTGTGGCTAGCAAAGATGCAGTGATTTACAATTATCATATTCAGGCATCAGACATCTGATTAAAACAAGAAGTATTCTAGCAAAAGATTTTTTGACTTGGAGGAATTTGTAAGTGATATTTACCATGTTAACCTTTTCTTTACAGCCCCAAGATGGAAACCCAAGTCACGGCCATTTAATGGAGACAACATCATCGCTATGTCATCAGGGAGTGATATCAAAATTAGCTGTCCAGCATACGGGAACCCAAAGCCAAAAATAACCTGGTACAAAGAAGAGAACTTGTTTGATGCCAGTCAGAGACCAAAGGTATTCATTTTAATTAGGGATGTCAAAATTGTCAATAATTGGTATTCGAATATATTCGATTATTCGATAAAACCAATGCATTTTGTATTATTAAATATATATTTTCACTCTCCTGTCAAGCAGTATAGATTTTAGGCCATTATTTTAAAATAAAACCATGTGTATAGAGTAGGAAAATGCACTACAATTATTTATGTTTTTTTTAATTTATTTAATATCATCCAAAATGTAATGATTGATTTTTGAAAATTCTAAAGATTCTTAAATATGTTTCAGATTAATTGATCGTCTAACTAAAGTCTACACTGATATACAAATTTATACCAATCAGAACAATTATTAACTATATTAAAAGCAATTACTTTTTGCTAATTATAACATTTTTATATTCAAAAGTAAAAAACGCAGTTTTATATCATTGGACAAATTTATACGCGACGTCAAGTAATTTATGTAATAACCGAAAATGACGTCACATAGCGTAAATTTTTAATACCACGCGGAAAAAAGTACTATTCTTAAATTTATCAGCTCAAACATTAGTATTCGAATATTCGCTATCATCTTGTGACATTAATTTAAGATTTTTATATTAAAACCATACCAAAACAGCATTTTGCATTATTAAATATATATTTTCACTCTCCTGTCAAGCAGTATAGATTTTAGGCCATTATTTTAAAATAAAACCATGTGTATAGAGTAGGAAAATGCACTATAATTATTTATGTTTTTTAAAATTTATTTAATATCATCCAAAATGTAATGATTGATTTTTGAAAATTCTAAAGATTCTTAAATATGTTTCAGATTAATTGATCGTCTAACTAAAGTCTACACTGATAACTCCTACAAATTTATACCAATCAGAACAATTATCTAACAGTGATATATTAAAAGCAATTACTTTTTGCTAATTATAATTTCCTGATAATGATTTTTAATGACATTTACATAAACAAGAAGTGTGTTTACTGTAAAACTGGGTCCCTACAACAATACAAGCTGATTGTTAGTACTGGAAACTATACCACTAAGTAATTGAACAAATAAATAAATTACTCTCATAGATACACTCTTCACACCTTTAAGAAAGGTAATCAAAGAGGAGTGTTTTTTTTTTATTTTGTACAAACCTTATTCAATTTCTAAAACTTGCCAGGTTTTTCTCTTTTTTAAATGCTTGTATACTTAAAAACGAATATTCGAATCACAAATTTACATTCGAATATCAACTCATCGAATGAATATTCGAATATTCGTTGACATCCCTAATTTTAATATTACACTGACTGTTTACCAATACAGGAGAGCTGGGAGTGCATAAAGGATGAAAGATCTATTACGATAACACCAGAGATAAATTATTATGTCTGGTCGAAAATCCTTCGAATTGTTATCGTAATAGATATTACATTTTCCATGCACTTTATTTGTATTAACTTAAAGAATTTTTTGATGCATTTGTCATTAATTATTTAAAGTAGCTTTAAACTTCTTCAAATGGATTGCAGAAAAATGATTTTAAATTGATCTGCTTTAAAGATTACATTGAACTTTTTATATGAATAAATTCTTCATATAATACCCTAAAAGATATAGTCGCAATCTTTATGCGTGGTGCAGTGGTTAAGAAAAATTACTGCTGTATTTCTGTAAATTGACTTGTTTTTGAAAGATTCGCTTTAAATGAAGTGAGGCGATGATCCTAACGTCGCGTGTTCGAATCCCACTGTGCAAAAAGCATCCTTTGGTGTGTTTAAATTGTTAAGAGGGGGTCTTTTAAAGGAAAGACAAATATAGGGTGAGTAATTAAAAACAGTTGTTTCCAGAATCGTGGGGCCAGAGAATTTGAAACTTATTTGTGAAAGCTTTTTAGGGTAGTGTAAATTCTAAATTGTTCAAATTATGGCTCCCAGGGGTAGTGTTGGGCCACGGAGGGGAAATCAAATTGACATTGAAATATATATGAAAAATATTTTTAAAATCTTCCCAAGAACCACTTAGTTAGAGAAGCTCATGTGGAAGCACCATAAAGTAGTGAAGATTCTAAATTATTCAAAACGTGACCTCCAGAGGTAGGAGAGGGCCACTGTTAGTATGACATGAGAGAAAATCGGTGCAGAACAGTTGGGCTAAAGTTACTTGGGTGAGCATTGTGGCCCGTGGGCCTCTCGTTCAATGACCAGGAGATCTTCGGTTTCGAATTTGATTTAAATATTAAATCTTCAATTTGCTGTTTTTTTTTTTTGAAAAACTTGCATTATTACATCAAATGGTAAGCAGTAGGTAGCTTATTAAGTTTTAAAAACTGTTTTTTGGTTTTCATTTTAGGTCGGGTAATTTTATGTTTATACAGTGATCCTTAATACTGTACACATAATTAAATTTTTCAATTTACATGATATAATTTCAGACAAAGGCCAGGCACTTTGCCTTGACCCTTTATGACGTACAGACATCAGACAGTGGGAAATACAAATGTGTGGTCCAAAATTCTCTAGGCAGCCTAGAATTTACATTCATTGTAGATGTTATACGTAAGTAATAAATATTTGACAATGTTTTAGTTTGATATATTAAGGCACTTGAAATTAGTATTTTCCATAACGTATCGTATCAAAAGAATATCAAAAAGACTGAGAATTTCATCCATCTCTGATGTTTTTAAAAATCACTGTTTGCTCTGCTCCTGATGATCCAAACTGTCACAATGTAACCTTCATTACTATTCTTTATCTCCATATTTCAATTCAACACATTTCCTTGAACCTCACACTTTGAAATTTAGAAATCTATACAGCTCTACAGTACTACATTTGTTTTTTACAATTAGGAACCTCATGGCCACTAGAGTTAGAAGAGCCACGGAATGCCACGGTAATGGAGGGAGAGAGGGTGGTGTTCCGATGCCGAGCCTTAAATGACCCATATGCCACCACTCAGTGGATAAAGCGGAACACTGATGGTGGAGACTCAGGTGGTTCAAATTGGGTTGTAAGTATATACCACATTTTCCAACCTCACAATGCAGTAAAATTAAAATGATGATGATTAGACGAAATGAAATTGAAGAAATGGTTCTCAGGCCCGTGCACGCGTGAGGTAGCCCCATTCCAAATTTTATTGTTAGTATTTTTTATTTTTCAAAATAATTGCAAAGCGTATATTTCTGTTCCCATATCTGACTTATACTTAAGTAGAGTGCTCCTGAGTAAAGATCAAGGTGTAAATATATCTCGGTCAAAAACCCCGATGTCTGAAAAATATTTTCTTTTCTCTCCACCGTATATGGTAATAATATTTCACCCATTGTGTGCTCATATCTACAGGAAGTGCATGATACTTGAACTAAGTTTAAAAGTCAGAAGTCAAAATCCTAGCAGATCTTTGTGTAAAATAGTTGCCTGGAACACATTTACCTTAACCTCTTACGTCAACAAAGCTGGTGTAAGTCAGGGGTCAAGGTCAAATTAAAACTCTGTTTTAAGTCCTTGTTCTCGATTTTGTCTGATCTGTTTTATACTCTATCCAAAGAATGTGCCCTCTATCCTCTTTAATTACAGTTCTCTACAAGTCCTTTTCATCTTAATTCCTTTTGTCCTTAAGTTGCTGTTGTATTATTACATTACAACAGGTGCTAGCACAAAACAAAATCTCTCATTCCTCAATGGCTGCAAGTGCTGAATACAAGACTAAATTTGCAACCTTCGTTCAGTAATTTGTGGCATCCCTAAATTAATAAAAGAAAGTTTGAAGGGATGTAAAACAACCAACGAATGAACATGTTGTAATAATGTCCTTTACTGAAAGTTTAGTTAAATTTTGAAATGATTGCTTATGTGTTGGTTTCAGTTTCTTCCAAGTAATGGACCAGAAATACTTATAGAGAACGCTAGACCAGAAGATGCAGGAAAATACACATGTATGGTAGGCAATTATATCGGAATAAAGTCAGTTGATGTGTGGTTAACAGTGAGACAGACTACGACGACAACAACCAGCACCACTCAAACCAGCACCACCACCACCGAAAGAAAAATCACTACCAGCACAACCAATGCACCGCTACCAACTACAACTGTGAAAACATTCCCTAACCAACCAGACACCACTGATGATGAGGATCTGGAGGGTAATGTATTGTTCACTTTGATGCCGTTAATCGCAATATATTCTTGTAGTCGTGTAAGATACATGACATCCTACTAAGCTTGGGTTGGCGGGTTGATCCTTTAGCTCAATTGGTAGAACACTGGACTGGCAAGCCAGAGCCCAGGTTCAAATCCCCAGCAGAGGCACAGAATTGTCTATACAAAAAATGTTTGTAATATATGACAGTTTTTTAAATTCTTGCTCAGTGCATTTCATATAATTTATTTAATAAAAACTTTCATTTTTAATTCAATTTCTAATGTGTTCTGAGGCCAGTGTCTGAATAGACATGTTAAATCTTTTCTACAAGGAGGAAGTCGAAATGTTATGGATGACGATATTTACTCAAATTCTGGTAACCCTGACAACGACAGACTGCCCATCAATAGGGACACCTATCAGGATTTCCCCGCGGGGACGCAGCAGCACGCTGAGGAGGAGGAAGGATTGAGTGCAAGGACGATGTATACTATCGTGGGTATTGTGGCTGGAGGGACTCTTCTGGTGGGACTGGTGGTAATCCTGGTGGCGCATTGTTATAATCGTACCAAGGATCGTATCGTATCAATGGATACAAAGACACCCCCGTGTGAAGAGAGAGTGAGCTCTTTGTGAAGCAAAATAATTTGTTTTTGCACATTTATAATGCCCATCATTTGCTACAAGATAGCAAGCAATGGTTTTGACTCAGTTTAACAGTGGAGAGACACTCAAATGGAGGGCAGCATTAAATCTGGAAGATTTTGTGAATATTGAAAAGAAACTTGTAAAAAGATGTTTACAGTATGAACACTACACAACGAAACCATTTTTTCAACCAACATGTATCGTATAATTTACTTATATGTAACGCATCATTTTGATTGTCAGATTAAGTATTTATATGTGTTTTTGAAAAGATCATTGTTCATTTTTTTGTCTTTTATTGTATAATTTACTTGGTGCATGTTATATGTACATTCTGGTCAGTGTACAATAATGGGTTGATATTGTTAATTTCTTGTCTTGAAGCAGTTCTG